CAATAACATTTTTTTTAGAGAAAAAATGGTTAATGAGATTTTAAGAGACTTTGCTTATGATTTTAGTTGAAAATAAAGCCACAAAAGTTCACACCTCAAGGGTGTTATTTGGAGAGAGTTAGCCAAAACTTTAGAATTAAAAAATTTCAACTAAAACTTGCAAAAATATTATTCTTCTTCTCGTCTCCCTCACATCGAAATTCTATAATTTTGGATAAGTTTTAGAATATGCATATAATTGTATAATTATGGGCTCATGGTTTAGAAAATACAACTATGGGTTTCTTGTTTAATTTTCGTAGAGTTAATCTAGTAGCTGAACTTATATATATATATACACACACGATCATTAGCCGTCGTCTCATATCAAATTTCAAAGGAGATGAGTTTACCCAATTTGTTATTGATACTTCAAAGTTCATCTCCTTTTGTTTCATTTTTTTTTCATGTGTTTTAATGATGTTTGCCTTTAACTACTGTTCATATAATTTTGAGTTTATGATTTATTGATTTATCATCTTCTGTTGGTGCATATCACAATTCATCAAGTATAATTTTATCTATAGTGATGTTTTTGAGTTTTGTAGTAAAACGTAGACGAAGATGCCGTAAGAGAGATGTCCTATATTTTTTTTAAACCATTTTTGAAATCACACAAAAATTCCAATATCTTCTAAAATCTCACTATAAAGTATCACCAAATTCTCCTTAATTTTCTATTTTTAATTATAATTATTTTAGGAAATCCTCTGAACATCCTTCAAATCTCCTAAAATCTCTCCAAATCTAAAATCTATCGGATTGTTCGAAATCCCTAGTCGAATACACCCCCCCATAGTGTATCATCCGAAAAAATAGTTTTCTCTCAAATTTAACTTAAAATGTTATTTTAGCTATAAAAATGAACTATCTAATACAATAATCTAAATTTATGTTTTGAAAGAATGAAAATATTCATTCGGACACGACTAGTGATGTTTTGATCGGCAGTTTTACAGTTTTTTACTATGTCTCCTTCACATCTCTGAAATCCTCGTCAATGCCTCCGCCAAAAGATCTTCTGTCTTTCAACCCTTGACTCGTTCACCCTCTCTCATGCATCTTAGATCATCCGCCACAAATTTTTTTGCTTGACCACGATTTCCGTTAAAATTTAAGGACGATACAAATATGGTCCCTAATGGCATATCTCAAAGAAATGAGTTTTTGATAATAGATGAGAAATAAACCATACAAAAGTGCAAATGTTGAAGATGTTGGTTCACAATCCTCCTATATAAGAAGACTTAGGATAAAAAGATTAGAAACAACCTATCACAATTGATGTCAAGAGGAGATACACAAAATGTATCATCCAAGTTTACTCTTCTTATCAGAATGAAGAACAAGAAGTTTTTCCAGCAATGCTCTAAGTAAAGCTAAAATATGAGCGCCCACAACAAGAATATATCGCCATTTACGACTATCGTATTTGTAAGAAACATAATTTAGCGACAAAATTCAAATTGTCATAAAGTTAGTTCATTTTCAGTATAATTTGCAACGTGTTTATATTTTGTAATTTTTATTTACATTGCAAAGTAGATGTAAATCTTATTACTTTTTTAGATGCGAAAAATAGAAAATAATTTAGGAAAAAAATTAAATAAATTATAATAAAAAATTAGAAATCAAATTTTAAAACCCCGAATACTTTGTATAAAACGTTTGATAAGAAAAAGCAAACATCAAATAACTATTTTAAAACGAAAATAAAGAATATAAAGCATATCAAATTAAGTATTGGATTCTGATGGATTGTTCGCTACCTAGCGTTTCTCCACTATCTTTGCAAAAACCAAGTTATTCCCAGCCATGAAGTCAACCTAATATCGTAGCTAGTATTCTTGTCTAACAGCTCTTTGATGCACTTATGTGTTTCATCTAACGTTTTGGCCATAATTGAAAGATCGTCTGTTGGAAGGGAACAAAGGAGGACTTCATCTAATCGATGCATAGCGATCATGTACATACGATTTTTCGTTTTTTCGGGGTGTAACATGTAAAGTA